AATAATGTGTTTAGAAGGGCAGAAAACAAGATTCCTTCACGCGCCAGATAGTCGATATCATTACTATACAGCTTTTCAACAAGATTGTCTTTTTAGGATTTTTAGCTAGACGACATTAGATGAGGTTCCTTTAAACATTTCTTTTAGTGGGGCTGCATTTGCTTCTGGTTTGAGGTTATTTGGGGTCTCGGAATTGAAAGGTATTGCGTGACCAATTTCAAGCAATAATAACCCAATTATTAGTAATTCATTTTTAGATTTTTCTGTTTGCTTTTGATTGAGCTATTTTCGTTTAGCACTTTCTGGATAAATTTTCGAAAAGTATAGACATTATAGATCAGTATAGACAAACGGCGTGTATTAAGAGATTATTCAGTCATGGAGATATTTCCGTTCCTTTCAAAGGAGTTCAGTCTAATTTGAAAAACCTTTCTTAACCCTTATGGGATCACAAGAGCGATTGAAAGTGGCTAGGTGTATTCAAGATCTCAGTTGGCTTGAAATTCGTGCGCAGGTCTTAAGATTCGATTCTTGTTCTTTTGTAAGTTACCTTTATCAGAAATGTCAGCCGTATCATTCTTTCGTTCCTTCTCGATCTTGTTCATTTTTACAATTTATCAATGGGTAATTAACAGGTATTATCTAATTTTACTTAACTGCAGTCAGCCCGTTGCCAATAAAGGCATCAGCAACCATCCGGGGAGAAAGCGAAGAAACGTTTTGAACGACACTTTAATTGGCATCACCATATATGAAGTGAGAAAAGAAATCAGCAAACAGTTTGAACAACTTATGCCCACCAAGTATTGTAAGTCAAGTGAGAAGGTATGTCCTACAGGTCCCCCCGGATATCCTGGTCCCACTGGAGCGAGGGGACCACGTGGCAGGAGGAGACCAAAGGGAAAGAAAGGTCCTCAAGGTCCCATAGGACCTCCTGGAAAATCCGGAAAAACAGGAATAACTGGTCCTGCAGGACCGAGAGGACAAAAGGGAGACAAAGGAGACTCTGGGCCACAAGGCATGCCGGGACCACCTAGAAGGCCTGGAAAATCGATATCTGCTCCACAAGTGATGTTGTCGCCGGCAGACAGACACGAGATGAGGGTGGAAATACAGCATTTTGTTGCACAGTTGCAGGAAACCCTTCCCCGGTCGTGGAATGGCAATTTAAAGGCACAAAGCTTCTGTCAGGTGCAAAGTATCTGATTAAAGAAGGAGAGTTAATCGTTAGAAATCTGAATTACAGCGATGCTGGACCGTACACATGTGCTGCCAGAAAAATTCTTGGATCGTCGGAGGCCATTAGTAACCTGACTGTTAGAGGTAAGAGAAACACTGTACTTTTGCTATTTCTAGGTTTCTTTGTGTTCCGAGAATGCGAGAATACGAGGTTAAAATATATAGATGACACTGTCGTTTTATCACGTACTTTTATCGCTTCCTTCATTTTAATTCATCCATTTTTCTAATTTGTTGTTAGCCAATAGTCACCAGTGAAGTTAAACGATTAACCTGAGCCAAGAAAAGATAAAGATAATTTTAAGGAATCATGTTTAAGATAATGACAGATGACAACCTTTACCATGTACGCGAAGGCGCACGACACCATTCTTCGCTTCCTCTCAACTTTTTTTTTATCGTTAATTAGCATTATCGCAAACTACTTCAACGCATGACTATGATGAATTCAGAGTTTGCTTCAAGGTGTTTGGGTTAGTCTTCACCTTCAATATGTTATATTATACACATTTCTTACATATTTCTCACATATCTTTGTGAGTGGCTTCTTTTTTGCTCCCTAGGTACTTTTCGGTTATGTTGTTAAACGTTTCGTTAATAAAGTTTCTAAGTAGTTTTCTAGCTAGATGTGTATTAGGGCATGGAGATTAACAGGTTTCTCGGAACAGAAAAGAATTATGTCACAAATTTAGAGTCCAATTAATTAATCTGTTTTACTGTTCATCCTGGTTAATTTTCAGCTCTATTTTTTTAGGTCTTCCAATCTTCATAAAAGTTCCAACCTCACTTGCTACACCAGTACAAGGTTCTACGTTTCAATTAAGTTGTCAAGCTGATGGATTTCCCCGTCCTATGATAAATTGGACTAGAGTAGGAATGCCTTTACCTGCTGGAAAGACAAATATCAACCAAGGAACACTTACCATTAACAACTTGAGTACTGCTGACAACGGGTTTTATGACTGCGTAGCTACTAACATTATTGGAAAAAAAAAGAAAAGAATCAACTTAGCAGCGCAAGTGCATTATTCAGGTTTGGATCAAAAGCACCATCTACATTTGCCTAAGTACAAAAGAAGGTTGCTTTGGCAATTGGCGAATGACAATTGGACATTCTGCATTTGCATATCCTTCATAATCATCTTTTTTGCCCCCTAAATTTTTGCACACCTCTGCTATAAATTTCTCCTGGTTAATACAGTCTCCCAAGAGATATTGAAAACAATGCAAGCTGTTGTATTCCTAGGCTTTCACTCAACTAAACAGGGACAGCCACTGGCTGATTCTTGGTCACGTGGCCTTGACTAAAATCAAATGTATCCCGATCGTGATACATTACAGCACGTGATCAAAGATATACAAATGGCGTATTGGGAATTAATGCATGTATGGGATTCGCTAACAGTGTTTTGCTTGAATGTGACGGCCAAACAATAGATTCCCGTCAAGTGCAATTTGTTGTTTTCACACTAGAGATGGATTATCCGTCGTAGACTGATAATCCATCTAGATAGGAAAACGGGACGATGTTCAATTTAGATGGATAATTAGCCTGAACTTATCCGTCTGTTTATCGGTCTTTTTAGACGGATTTGCAATTTGCCTATCCATAAGCCCTTGCGAGCTCCGTTAAACATCACCACTCTTTGATCACAGGACGAACGTGTTCATGTAACTGGGTGAGGTGATCCTCATGATATTGTATGAAAAAAGAATATTATTTTAATTGCAGAATGTTGGCGAAATGATAAGTCGTATCTGCGCAATAATGAATGGATATAGCCTCAGCTGTTTGCTTTCGCTATTCAACTTCAACGAAACGGGAACTAGAAAAATAATCATGCTTACGTGCCACAATCGTTGGTGTTCTACATCGTGCATTTCATTTCACGGTCCGAAATAGCAGAACGGAACGGAAAGATTAGAATGAAAGCTATTGTCACTGTGTATGTTGGGCTTACAACAAATTGCAACTTAAGACATTATGCGTCATTACTGGAGTTTTGATCAGTCTATAACGTAACACTTTAAATTTCTTTTTAGCAAAACGAATCAAGTTGACGTTAATTTTACATTTTGCAATATGGTTATCCTATCTTTTTGCTAATACCTCAGTGAAAATAAATTCAGTTTCTGTGAAATTTCAAATACTTTGTACCTTACATAATAAAAATGGTCTTTTTTCCCCTTAGGTTTGGAAAACTCCGTTATTGTGAGAAACAACCAAAATCACTTGACCTCGTTAAGAAACTGGCTAGCACCTGTGGCAAAAAGCGTAAATTCTCGCTGGAAGCGCTGTTGGCGTGCATCCGTGGACGGCTGGGCTGCAAGTACATTTCACTCCCTATGTAACGGCAAGGGCCCGACTGTGACAATAATAAGGGTCGGGAGATACATTTTGGAGGATACACTAGTAAATCTTGGGGTAAGTTCGTATTGTAAGGGGCGGTTACCTTAACGCCATGCGGTCACTTGCATGGATATGTGCGGCTAAAAGCGCAGCTTGGTAGCGTGGTACTGAGCAACGTGGAGTCAGTTTGACTTTGCAAGGTTAAGCAGCAGCCGATAAAGTATTCAGGTTAGCGGATCTAGATTCGGACGCGCACCCCCCGCCCCTCAAAAACCGAGGACCTCCCTCCTAGACTTACAAGGAATGAGCAAATGTGGCAAAAAATAACAGCTACAGATCATGATTTTCCAGATTTGCTCTATACAAGTTACGAAAGGAAATATCTAATTACTTGACGTTTTATTTATTATTTTTCAAATATTTTTTGGTTCGAATCTATTGCTTTGTAATTGCTTTTAGACAGCTCCCATAGACGGAAACCTTTGCACCAGTCTCTTAGGTTTCAGGACCCCGATTGTTAATCTCCCGTTCAAAAATTGGCTGCTTGTTGGAGGTTTTATAAGCAACAAAATGAAACACTGCGTGATAAACACAAAGTATACACATTCTCATGGTTATTTTATCAATAATTTATAAAGCACTATCTGTAAATTTTTTTCCACTAATTGTATATTACCAGGCGACCCAGTGATTTACATTTTTTCGTTTTAATTGGATGTGTTTGGAGTTATTCTTGTCGAGGGTATAGATGTAAGCAGGGTAATTTGATTGATCATGAGTGGATTTTAATTCAGGGAGTAATCGGCCGTGTATTTCAAATTGGTCGAACGCGTATTTTTTGTTTATTTACATTGCTAATGTACGGATATATGTTGAGAGAAGAACTAAAAAAATGCCTGAGTTCCAGATAGGAATTAAGCTCTCGACACACTCCATGAGTTTTTTTTTTTTTGCTGTTTTTGACGTGTTTTGTGTTCATTTTGCCTGCGTCGCAGACGCTCTAATTTACCTTCTGTATCAGAAAAAAATTTTTCAAATGGCACTTTTATTCCATCTCTATTTTCTTGTAGGTTCTGGCTCTAGGTATTGGTACGACTCAAACGCCTTTTTATTCTCACTTGTAAACAAGCCAGGGTGGGCACCCATCAAGTTGCCTCAGACAGGGAAAAATACTTCCAGAAGGCAATATTCCATATACTTTAACCCATCATTTGGGCCAACATTCGGAGGAGGAAATGACATTTACATATCAAACTACGCGTCATCCAATCGCAATTCATATGGCAACCTTGGCCATACTTACAGCCCACCGAGCGGATACAGCGACGGCAACACCCTCGCCAAAATATTCCTAGCAGGAACATACAGCTTCACACCAGACGAAGTAGAAACGTTTTACGAAACAACTTAAATAATTATAATGAGCTACAACCGGTTTTTATGTTTAAGTAATGAGCTTGTTGTTTTCTTTTGCATTTATGAGAACTAAAAATAACTAAACAATCTCTAAAATTGATTGTCCCAGTCTCTTGTCCCATTCTCTTAGCAGCTGTATGAAAAAAAGAGGCTACGAAATGTTACAGTACATAATACATGGTTACATTATATGGAACTTTTCGGTTGTTTGTTATATGTTAGGCTCGAATACAAGCCGCTGTTTGGGAAATGAGCCCGCGCTCTTTCCCCCGAGCAGGGGAGGATCAGGAGAGGGGTGGAAATCGAGCTTTGGCAATATGTACGCACAAGAGCCATTATGGCTCTTAGTATGCATTAGACTGCGGAACAACCCCATTAATTATTGCGTAGGTCAGGAACACGCGAGGCCGTTCAAAGGAAAGTTCTGAATGACCACTAGCTTGACGGGAGTGTGAGGCTTGAGCGATAACCTCACCCAAGCGCTTCTGCTTAATCAGCTATGTAGCCCTTTTTCTCCACTTCGATTGATTAAAAGATTTTTCAGAGACTTCTTTGGATTAACGCTTAGTTTATGGTTTTTTTTGTGGTACTTAATAAATTTCTACTCAAAAGTTAATTATCTATTTCATCTTTATCCCATCGTTTCCTCCAGCCAATAAGAATTGGACTTTACATCAGCTCAATAAATTTTAAGTTCAGGAATTCTTTAATTAAATCACTCGTCAATAGTGTTTCACTTGATGTGCTCGAATGAGTTTTTATCACGAGAGATGTACTTCAAACATCGCAAATAAAATGATAAGAACGGTGACTGAATCAATGAATTAATGGCAATCTGACTAAAAACCATTATTTTGTCTATTTAATTGTGCGATCCTAACATGGGTGTAGTATTTGAACTTTTGTGTCTTGTAATTTTTTTAGACCGAAGTGCACTCCACTCATCTTAAGGACGGCTGTGTTGTCACGTGACGTGTTGTCTCAACCTCTAACGGGAAACAAAAGCCCACCCAGTCCTTTGAAGTTTGCCGGTTTTCCCAAATAGTGCCCTCTACTAACTATGCAAAGAAACAATACTTTTTTTGCGACACTTAGGACTGCCGGTCATTTAGTTTTTTGAAAACCTTGACCGGCAGTCGAGCTGAAAAAAGTCTGAGTGTCACAAAGGTTTCGTCTTTTGAGCCCAGCGTAAACAAAACGCTAGACTTGAGATCTATAAAGCATTTCAGGATCGCTTGACCTTTCTTAATCGACATGATATGGTAGTTTAGATTAGCTGGAATTTTTCGATTTTGTGAAATTCACTGAGAATATAGGACTGCCGGTCATTTAGTGTTTTCAACACCTTGACCGGTTACCGGATATATAGCCACAGCGGTCAAAAGAAGCCTACCTACATCAGCGCGTCAGCGCTATTGCCACTGACTTCCACACGCCAATTTTATAGCGTGGTTTTTAATTGGACAAAATTGTTGGTCGGGTGAAAGTGCACTTCTCAGGAAACGTTGGTTTATATGCAACACTGACTTGACAGGTTAAAAAATTGACCTCAGAATGGAGTATTTCTAAAAAGAATAGCCTATCATTCACTCTTCAGTCCTCGTATCTCGCAAGAGAGGGGCCGGGGGGGGGGGAATTAAGGAATTTTGGGGTGGGCATGTGCCGCTGGGGGGGGGGGGGGGGGGGGGGAATTAAGGAATTTTGGGGTGGGCATGTGCCGCTGGGACCTTGGACCCTTAGCCGATACCAGAGCTAGTTCAGCTGAATTTTGCTACCCTATACTACATTAAATTCCCCAAATCCATCCTAGAGTAGCTGATTTTCGTCCAGAAACTACTGCGGTTATTAGCACAGTCCAGCCAAACAAAACCGATTTGATTTTTTTAATATATTTTTGAGTGGCAATTCCCGGTTTCCCTAGTCTAGACTAAAGTTTTCGACCAATTGATCAGTTTCCTGGAAAATGATACCCTCTTCTAGACCCAAACTCTCCGATTTATATACCCTATCCCAGGATATACTGCTTGAAAACCATACCCTTCATAGCGGCACACCTATATAGCCCATATATGGCAGTACTTTTGAGCTTCAAATCGAAAACTTGAAGCAAGTTTGATGTATTTTAATGTGATATGACAAGCACAAACTGAAAGCGCTCCATCCTTCTACATCAGACATAAAGAGTGATTTTAGGCAACTGCTATTTATCTCTTCAAGCGCAGTAATGAAAGCTATTAAATTCTGGCCTGAGTTTTAAATAAAGGGTACAAGCTAATGGCAACTTTCCACCGACCATGTGAAAACGAAGACCGATTGCGAAGCATCTAGTATGTGATTTTTTTTTGCGTTGGTGATCGAAGAAACAAAGCACTCGTCACAAGATGACGACTGGTCGTGATCATCACAAATATAAGATCGGCGAATAGTCAGTTACCTGATGTCTGTGTGTGTGGTTTTTTTTGTTTGTTTTTTTATTGTATTGTTGTTATTTATTGGTTTTAGTTTTAGTTTTCTTTTTTCTTCTTTATGGTTAGAGAAAAAAAACATTTTTGAGGTGAAAATCCGATAAAAGGCTGGCGCCTCTTTGAAAGGAGGTGATCAAGTAAAAATATTTAAGATACTTTAAAGGAACAAAGAATATAATCTCAAAATCACTGCTCTATCGAGAAGAATTTGCACATTTAGGTCGAAACATTTTTTTTAGGTTTTACGTAAATAGGTCAAATAATAAGTATTTACTAAAAGCGAAGCGGCTATTTTAAATATTAAGTAATTATCTTACTGGGCATGCAAGAAAACGTTTTTCAATCATTAGTTTTTTTCTTTTTCTCTAGGACAACAAGTAGCAACTTATGTCCACAAATTATATCACGGATTGTATTTTAACAAAGTTGTATTTTTATTGAAAAAATATAGATGTCCGTGGCTGCACAGACTTCCTCGCCAAAGCTTGGATAAACAGGTATTAATAATTTCAGAACAAATGACCATAAATTATTATAAAGAGTCCATATTCTAATTCAAGCGCGTTTTTTTTTTTTCTTTTGGTACCATCTAGAACTGTTTTGACTCTTTCTGTCCAAAACGGCCCAGCATGTTCCAAATCGGCCCTCGAGAAATTGGGGCCGATTTGGCCTTTGGGGTCGATTTGGCTCTTTTCATTTTACAGTGTACAGCCCACCGAGCGGGTACAGCTACGGCAGCACCTTCGCACAAACATTCCTGGCAGGAACTTACAAGTTCACACCAGACGAAGTTGAAACCTTTTACGAAACAACCTAGTTAAATAAAATGAACGACATCGGCTCTGATATTTGGGCTGAGATGGTTCTCTTTTACTAAAAGTACTACGTACTTAGTTCTAGTAGACGTTCACACTTGACTGCTTGCTGAAACGAGGTCAGGAAAAGAAGCCAAAACATCACTTTTGAAATGTATTTAGAAAATATATTTTCAAAAATACCTTTGAAAATGTATTTAGATCACTTTTGAAAATGTATCTTGAATGGCATACGAAACGTCAACTTAAAAAAAAATCCGAAAACTCACAATACTTATCACCGCTGTTTAACCTGAGCTTTATTTTTGATCAAACTTAACGATGACCCAGGAACAAAAGTCTCTATAAAGCCCAATAATATATTATTATTGTTATTAAGTCACTAATTTCCATTGTTAAAAACCTCTATTAAGCGGACACCGGCTGAACTGACAATAGTGTAGTAATGAATTTCGTCCTTGAAAAACGTACTGTAGTCGATTAATAAAGATAAATCAATACATTATTTAGCTGTCAAAATTTCACCTAAAAGTCTTGCACAAAGTACAGCACAGCTTCCTTAGCTTCCTTAGCTTCCTCAACAACATGGAACTTTATCACAGTACAGCCGGAGTAACCGTTGAATGTTAATCGTTAACTAACATTGCGCAAATTATTACAAACCTCTATTTATTGAGCGAACACCCTCTATTAAGCGGACATTTGGGAATGTCGCGAAGGTGTCCGCTTAATAGAGGTTTCACTGTATGAAGTTTCTGTGGGGACTTCTATGATTTTTGGTGAAAAACCACGTCAGTACGATATAAAAAGGAGTAATGAAGTATTTCGTGACGAAAAACGCGTAATAGCACCATATACCCTATTAGTCAAATAAACTACAATTTTGATTTTATGCAACGTTCTCTTTGCTCCTGTGCCAATACATTCATTGTTCTCGCCTTTTAAATACCCCTAAAGTTTTACCATGTATGCTACTCATGTGGCGGGAAACTTGAATTTTTTAATTAGCTCTAACTTTACGCCTTTTTATCTGATTGAAATGTAGTTTTCACCAAAAATCATCGAATTACCTACAGAAACTTGATTTAAAGTTTTCAACATTGCTTTCCAAAATTTTACTTCATGCTAAATTCAGACGTCATTTATGACTTCACTATAGCAATCAAATGGAATGAAATTATAACTAATGAACACTTACTGCACGTAATTCATCCAACTACTTCCCTGCCAAGCTTCGATAAAATCGTTGCATTAATTCTATACGTCTGTCCGTGGCCTAAAAAACTCAGTTTTGACAGTTGCGGGAGAAAAGCCATGGCAACCGACCATCGTGTTAATCTCCTTTTAAATGCCTGAATGACAGGTTTTCCTACCCTTTCAAATAATTCTTTTCATGAATTCCCTCCTCTTTGCTTAAGCTGAGGCCTGAGAAAGGTTATTAAGGACCTTAAGCAACGACGACGACGACGGCAGTGAAAACGTCGCTAAAAAAAGGAATTTGCGTTCTTTCAAACTTAATCGCGTCTATTTGGACCCGCTCAATATGTCAAATGCAGGAGACTTTTCGTGGAGTTGAATTCGTTCAGAATTTATTCAAGTTCAAAAAGAGGAAGGAAAATTCGTCGTCGTATGTCCACGTCCTCCATAAAACGTCAAATTAGGAGCTCTCACGTCGTAGTCGTGCAGTGGACGTCAAAGAAATGTACTAAAAAGCG